GTGTTGAATGCTTTTCATTTTATTTGGCCATTAAATGATTGAGTTTAGTGATTTGTATATCGTTCGAGAGGAGATTGTATATTTTAGACTAAATAGTAAATACTCTAGGTTTGTATAGGGGATAGAAATATACTCATAACCCTAGGTGATCCATTGAGCTATTTTCACTAAGATTTAATGCAATTATTTGGTTTTAATCGATATAGAGATATAGTAGGTTAAACCAATTAGTTATAGTTAATTTCACTCGAGAGAGGTAATTAACTAAAATTGAAAAATCGGGTCTACATCGTAAATGAGTAATTTGTTAATTGGCTTGTGGAGAAATTAATTAGGTGACGATTAAGCGAAACCATGAATCTCAACCACGTTTTCCTCCAAACTTTCCAAATGTTTACGTTTTCTTATTTTGTGGATTTTTAGTTAATTCTCCATATTTTCCAAAATTAAATTTTACTGTGTGTTTGTCCATATTGTTAAAATTAAATTGACTAAAATTGTGTAATCAGAAGTAAACATTCCTCGAGGGATTAACAACCCGGACTCAAAAGCCCACTTTATTACTTGAACGCGACCCGTGCACTTGGGGTATAAAATTTTAGCGAACGGGACGGATAACGGGTGCCTCTCCCCGCCTCGCCCCCGCCCCGCCCCACCCCACCCCACCCCCCCCCACCCCGTTTAATTTTTAAATTTTTTTTTTAATTCAATACTTTAAATGAAAAATTTCACGGAATTTCATTAGTTTTAATAGAAAGTGGCAACTAAAATTATCTAAAAAATATGACAAAAAATAAAAATTTTAGTTTATCAAATATATTTGAATAATTTAACTTTAAAAATAAGTAAAGATTAAAAAATATATATTGTCTTAGTCTAATGAATGGGAACAATAAAATGAATTATAAAATTTTTTTAAAAAATAAAATTAAATAGGGTAGTAAATGGGACAAGGGCCATGCCCCGCCTTAAACGGGTAACGGGGCGGAGACGAGGTGGTGAATTGCTTGGCGAAACCTCCCCCGCCTCGTTCCGTTGTTATCCCTACTGTTACATATTCAATATGAATAATGACTTGTGTTTGCCTCTTTTATATTGCAGCGACATTATATTTTAATTATATCAAATATTATTAACATTTATTCATTATGATAATTGGATGTTTGAGTCTCATTTTTTGCCCAAAATGTATTTTGAAATAGTATTTAGATGGAGAATGTGTGGTTAAAAGATAAGGAAAAGATTTGAATTTACGTATAACATTATTTTATTAAAAAAATGTGTAGTTGAAAATAAGAGAAAGAGAAATGTATTTTGAAAATAATGAGGACCAAACAAATATATAATATCTATAATTTTTATCATATTCTTATCTTTAACATTTCATTAACTAGCATATCTTATTCTTAATTATGATTTTCGTCCAAAAATATTGTTAGCATATTATAAACGAAGGATAAATATTCAATCTTAATTTTGTATTTATTTTTTGATTTATTTAAAAATATGAATGGTGAATAAATCTTTTTACTTCATTTTATTGAAATTTTTAAACAGAAACCGTCATAAGGGACAACTTTTGTCAATTTTAAAATAAAAATGCGATGAAAAGAGTTAGGAACATTGGGATAATGAATATATTTTGACTAAAGGTTATTGGCATTTCATACAATTAAAATGTGGTATAGTTATTAAAAACTGTGGTGTGAATATATTTAACGTTAAGGGCCTATTTGAGTCCCATATTTTTATGTAGAAATCATTTTAGAATAGTAGATTAATGGAAAATGCGACGTAAAACATGAAGGAAAAGTTTTTGAATTGTGTGTAATATTATTTTATTGAAAAATGTGTGGTTAAAAAGAAAAGAGAAAAATGTGTTTTGAAAAAAATGAAGATCAAACAATGTCCAAATTAAGAACCGAGCTTGTTTAGGAATGATTTTCAGAAAAATTATTTTTAACCATATTCTATGAGAGAGTTAAATGTTTTAATAACTATTCAATTTATACCATGATCACGGTTACTCACTAAATTTCAAATTGCTTTGCAATGCTCACCGAACTTTTCCCTTTTCACTCCATCAATTATTTGTCAAATTCCATTTTTCTCATTGCTGACATATCAAATGTATATCTCACATGGCTAGTTAGATCATTAAAAAAATTACAATTCAATCAAATCATCTAAGTACAATGTTTCATTTCTTACACAACTTTATTGTGATCATGATTTACTCATCAAACTATAAAATGTTTGCCAATGATCACTAATCTACGAGAGTTACACTTCATTCATCATCCGTCATATTTTGTTTTCTTTGTTGCAACCGTGTCGTAAGGAAATCCCACGTAGCAAATTGTGATGGTTAAACCAAACTATTCAACTCATAAAACAAAAATCATTTGCATATTAAAAAATCTCTGACAAACAATATTGTAGCATGTAAAAACATTTTTTAATGCCAAATATAGAGTTAATTGTCCCAATAATTACTGAACTTATGTATTTGTATTCGACTGCTCACAAAAATTTCAGATGACGAGTTTTGACTACTAAACTTAACAAAAATGTTGGAAGTTACTCACTGTATGACGTCTTTGACTAATCACTAAAATTTCTATTGCACAATTCTAATGGAATTGGTGACATGACAAATTGAATGAACGGGTGGCACCCTAACGTCACACACCAAATTGCCATGTAAGAAAAAATGTCTTTGATTACTCACTATATTTTGTAACACACATTTAATTGCTCACTATACTTTTTAAGACGTCTTTGATTGCTCATATTTTTAAAGATGTCATTGAAACTATCATTGTAATATGTTGCAAAATTATTTTGTTATATGAAACTGATGCTTAGAACAACATTCTTATATTTTCAGGATAGATAGACGACAATTTTACGAGTTTAGTGGCCAAAACTTGACCACCTTAAAGTAAAGACTCGTTAGTTTATGCTGAAATTTTGTACAATAAGTAATCAAAGATTTCTTGAAAAGTATAGTAAATAATCAAAGACGTCGTTTAAAGTACAAGAGCAATCAAAGACGTCTTTTATTACGTGGCAACTTGGCGTGTGGCTTAACAGTTTCTCACGTGCATTCTATTTGCCATCTCACCAATTTTTTAGAATTATTTAATGTATATCATGTCAATTAGTAACATTCAATATTTTAATAAATTTAGCGATCAAAACTTGAGATGAAACGGACGAGTTTGATAATGGGACTAGCTCCAAAATCAAGCCTGTTACATAAACATAATTTTTTACGCGTATACGTTTGACGATTTTTCATTGACAATTAAAAATAAATAAAACAAAAAAGTGTCAATAAAAAACTTCTAGCTCATCACATGTAAATAAACCTCTTTGAGCCCTTTTGACTAGTTCAATTCCCCCAAAATATGGGTTTCACTAGTTGTCCCTCTCAATAGAGGGGCATACCAATAAAAACATCTTGGACCCTATTATGAGAACTGTACACGAGGTATCAAAATCGAGAAATGCTAGAGGAACAAGGGTTCACATAACGTTCCTCTGAATAATTCTGCTCAAATAGGGAATATAAACAGGGTGTCCGTGACACCCTAAGTTGACAGAAATGAATTGGACGTTTTTTCTTTTTTTATTTAAACTGTTCAACCAGTGGACACGTGTATCTGTTTTTTAAATTTGGTCAAATTCCCCTGCTTGTGTAGCTAGAGGTGTCAATCCGGGTGGTCTGGGCCGGGTCGGCCCGTCAACATGTGAGTCCGGTAACGGCCCGCGTGGAAAAAAGCCCACCCGCTGCGGGTTCCGGGATGAGCAATCAAATACGACTTTAAAAATACAATAAGTAATCAAAGATTTCTTGAAAAGTATAGTAAATAATCAAAGACGTCTTTTAAAGTACAAGAGCAATCAAAGACGTCTTTTATTACGTGGCAACTTGGCGTGTGGCTTAACAGTTTCTCATGTGCATTCTATTTGCCATGTCACCAATTTTTTAGAATTATTTAATGTATATCATGTCAATTAGTAACATTCAATATTTTAATAAATTTAGCGATCAAAACTTGAGATGAAATGGACGAGTTTGATAATGGGACTAGCTCCAAAATCAAGCCTGTTACATAAACATACTTTTTTACGCGTATACGTTTGACGATTTTTCATTGACAATTAAAAATAAATAAAACAAAAAAGTGTCAATAAAAAACTTCTAGCTCATCACATGTAAATAAACCTCTTTGAGCCCTTTTGACTAGTTCAATTCTCCCAAAATATGGGTTTCACTACTTGTCCCTCTCAATAGAGGGGCATACCAATAAAAACATCTTGGACCCTATTATGAGAACTGTACACGAGGTATCAAAATCGAGAAATGCTAGAGGAACAAGAGTTCACATAATGTTCCTCTGAATAATTCTGCTCAAACAGGGAATATAAACAGGGTGTCCGTGACACCCTAAGTTAACAGAAATGAATTGGACGTTTTTTCTTTTTTTATTTAGGCCCCGTTCGGGAGGGATTAAAAGCCAATTAAAATTGAAAATATGGCCGTTATTGGACCCCACTCGTCTAATAAAAGTCAACAATAACGACTATATTTTCAATTTTAATCCCTCCCACACAGGCCCTTAAACTGTTCAACCAGTGTACACGTGTATCTGTTTTTTAAATTTGGTCAAACTCCCCTGCTTGTGTAGCAAANTTCACGGATCATGGCCGGCCCGTCCATCTTGACACCTCTATGTGTAGCAAAGTTAATGTTCCTCTAGCATTTTACATCGAAATCGGTGTAGTAGTTGCAAACCCCCCTCCGCCTAACCCCTTCAAAATATACCCGTTCGGGTCCATTTGCAGCTGACGACCCTGCGCCCAGTAACGTTCCATCTCCAGTCTCCAATTACCAAATTGCACGAACGGCTGAAAAGCCATTTTTTTCCATCCAAAAGCGGGAGATAAGCTGATCAATCAACAATCTGAGGAGAAGAAGACGTAAAGTCGGAATGGGGAGTTTGGGTAGAGCAGTTTACACATTGGGATTTTGGATTCGAGAGACGGGTCAAGCAATGGATCGTCTTGGCTGTCGCCTCCAAGGAAATTATTACTTCCAAGAACAACGTACGGCCATTTTTCTAGTTTTTTTATTCTTAAAAAACCCCAGATCACGCATTTCCTGGTTTTAGTTTTTGATCAACTTTTATGTGTTAAATGTATTTTAGGAAGAATGTAAATTATTGTTGGGCTTCATATTTAAGCTCTTTAATTACTCTAATTTGTTGAGTGGAAAATGGGATAGGAAAATGATCTGTGGGTTGTCGTAAAAATTAAACTTTCGTAGAAAAGAAGGGAATATTATACAGAAATAGAAATGGGTAGTAGGTTTGTCTTAAGAAACTTGGGTGAGAAAATGCGAAAGCAATATAGTGAGAGATGCCATGAATTCTGAAGAATTTGATACTTAAATGTACTCTGGTTACAGTTTACACATTAACGTCGTAATCGGTGTAATTGCTTGATTAGAACTGCAAAAATTGATGTTAGAGGTGTCAATTAGGTTTGAGCTGCTCAGGAAAAGAAGGGTTCAAATAATCTTTTTTGGGCTCTTTTCATTTTGTTTTGCTCTACCGTTGGAAAGGACAGGACACAGAAGCCCTAATAAAGAGGCAAAAAAAGAGAGAGAAAGAAAGAAATGGTAGACATGAACTCCTTGCTCATGTTAATGAGGGACGTGTTATTTTTCAGGAAATGCTATCAATTCGGATAATAAAGACTCAATTACTATATAAAAATCACTGATAATGCTATGGAATGTATAATGCTATAGAATGTCTATCAACAGAGGATTAGTTATGGAGATTCTGAAATTAGTTTGGGGAATATGGACACTGGAATAAACACTTTAGAATGCATAAAAGATAAGGGAATGAAACTGGGACATTGGCTTATGGTAAATTTGCTTTGCTTTTCTCTTTAGTTATTCATGGACGGTGGAGGTTTAGGAGGGATTTTCCTTTATAGTTTTTATTTATTTGGACATTAGGGGAGCATTGACTTTTCAATGGTTTTAATGCCTTAGAAGAAGGCATGGCCGGTACGGTTCAATATGAAATGCTCAACCAAACTAGTTTCATTATGGGTTTTCTCAAACAGAATCACTCTGTTTAGTTGAAGGATGAGAACCCGAGTGACTCGTTTCTGTTTCAGTTCTGTTGAGCTGAACCTGTTTAAAGCATGTGTTGCTGTATGCCAAAAGTGCAATTTTTCCTCCAAAAAAAAAAAGAGCAAAAAACATTCCAGAAAAGAATTAAGCAGGAAGAATTCCTAGATTTGATATAATGCGCTAGTCATAAACACATATCTGACACCCAGAAAAGGATGAGTTGGAGGGAGAGAGAGATGCGTAGATCTGAGATTTGGGAATAAATTGGTCAAGAAAAAAAACGAGATTTCTTAGAGTGAACTTCATAGGATCAAATAGAGAAGGGATACACTCACACACCAATTATGTTTACAACAACTTCCATATCACAATCAGAGAAAATGCTTCTTATTTTCTCATCTTGATGGTGAATTAGTTGCCCTTGGCAACTAACAGCCTTGAATATTTTAGTAGAAAAAAGGAGATTTTGAGAGAGGGAGAGAGATTTAAAGTGATTAACATTAGTAGTGGACCTAATGTCTATTATGATATGGAACCTATATGAGTCAGTTCTTTTTTCGGTTTGACAGTTTCAATTAGAAAACTGAGAACAGGCTCAAACTAGCTGATTTGTGGTTTAGAAGAACCAAATTTATTTTTTATTTTTGTAGAAATAGACCGGAGCATACAATTTAGGTCTGATTCTATCTGTTTTGGATAATTTTGCCCACCCTTGCTTAGAAGGAACCTAGTTGCTAGGTAATTACAAGTTTGGTTACCCATTTACAAAGAAAATAGAATGGGCAGCCATTTCTCAATCCACCCAGAGACTGGGGAGTGTGACTGCAATTTCCCTATTACATAAGAAACAGACATTTCTGACGTACATATATGTGTAGACTTGGACAGGAAAAGGTGTTATGCCATTTTTACACAACCATTAAATTTCCTAATATTAGGATAGAAGGACAGAATAAAATGTTCCTACTTGCATATTTTGTTTCATGTATGGTAAAATGGTGTTCATGGAAATAGACTCAGCTCAGTTTGAAGTAGTTATACAATGGATTTGCTTGGATATACTTCTTTGGTATATGCAATATAATCAGGTGCACATCCATTGCTGAAGAACGACAATGTGCTTGAAGCATTTCTCTTTCACAGTTAGAAGTGTTAAAAATACAAATAACTTAAGCAATCACTTCTAAAATGCTTGCATAACATGGCTTGATAATCTGTTGTACTGAACTTTACATTTGTAGGAGCATGAAACTCAGCTTTGTGGTTTTGTTGGATAACGATTTTGTGTTCTTTTATGTAGTTGGCGGTTAGTGGTAAAACAAGAATCACGTTTGGATCTACAGTAATTTGTTTGCTAGAAGTTATTATAACTTATTCTTGACCACATTTTCATAGTAGGATATTTGTGAGCACTTAAAACATTAAGAATGTTGATGCTTCAGCTGTGATGAATAGCATTGACAAGCAAGAGCTTAAGCTTATTCCAACTAAAGCTTCACCACCGTGGTTGAGGGCAAGCACAAAATGTGTGACTCATGATCTTGAGGTGTAGTCATTAGCTCAAAGCTGTATACTATGCAAGTTCCACTTAGAATTTACTGCCTCAGAACTTTTCTGACATGCCTGAGGTACCTCTGAAGTACCCGCATAGCAAATTGTCATGGCTAGCTTCCTTTGTAGCTAACTTTGAATGTTTCGTTCCTTTCTTATTCTGTATTTTATGTTCTTTCATTTAATGCATATTTATTTAGTGTCTAGGCATCGAACTCTAATGAACATATTCAACAAAGCTCCGGTTGTTGATAAGGATGCTTTTATTGCCCCAAGTGCCTCAATCGTTGGGGATGTTCAAGTGGGACGAGGATCATCCATTTGGTATGGCTGTGTTGTGAGAGGTAGGTGTTTCATTCAGAACTTCATGGTAGTTGCACTGTAATTAAGATGTTGAAAATCACTTACACAACACTGTGAAATCCAAATTTTATATTCCAAATAACCTAATTTTGTTTGATAAATTGATTGTTTAGTATTTGTTGCATGTGGCGTTGTATTTTCCATTGAAAGCTTCTGTAACGTCTAATTTCAATCTCTCCTGTCTTCTTTTATTGGTTAATTTATAATCAAACATGCCTTTCTGCCAGGGGATGTCAATAGCATCAGTATTGGGTCTGGAACTAATATTCAAGATAATTCCCTTGTGCATGTAGCAAAATCCAATCTAAGTGGGAAGGTGCTTCCAACCATCATTGGAGATAATGTCACCGTTGGTGAGCGCCCTGCCAGTAGTCTTCCTTTTATAGATTAGTTTCAGAATTGACTTTCTGGCGTTTTATTTTGATTTCCACATTAGATTGCAACAGCTTCAGAGTTGATTGGGTTTGGGATTTGAGCATACAGGTCATAGTGCTGTTGTGCATGGCTGCACCGTCGAGGATGAGGCTTTTGTTGGTATGGGTGCGACATTGCTTGAGGAGTGGTTGTAGAGAAACATGCCATGGTTGCTGCAGGAGCCCTCGTGAGACAGAATACGCGGGTCCCTTGTGGAGAGGTATAACGTTCTAAATGTCCACAATTCAAATATCATGAGACAAACTTGTATGCTATAGCTGTAGTGCATTTTAAAATTCCTAAATGGAGATCAAATTTTCAGTTTTATGAGAAATTTTGATAACCGAGTTTATGCTGGCAGCTCACCAAGGGCCTTGCTATGAACTTGGTCAATTATCTGTATTAGAAAGGATATTGGGTCTAACTCAACCTAACAAAATCGACTTGTTATGGGAGGATTGTCCCTATCTTATTAAGAGAATCGTGTAAATATCACTAGCCAATGTGAGACTTTAATACGCCACATCACGCACAGCGTGGACATGCCAAACAACCATGAACAAATCGATATTGGGTGCATACAATATTGCAAAACTGGGTCTGCTCTGATACCACATTGAGAAATTAAAGGATAGATTCAATATGAAAACATATTGAAGGAACTTGAGAAGAGGAACATTTTATTAATCATCAAGCTCAAGTAATATTGTGAATATATTGCTCTATTTATAGAGTAAATTTCTAACAAACTAATTCCATAACAAACAAGAGAAGAAGCATCTAATAACAAATAGGAGAAGGATCTAGAAGAAGGATCTAATATTAGAATATTTCAACAATCTGAATACCCGATTTGATCGGTTGTTTCTTCAGTGCAATTGTATGTAATTGTGATCTTATGGCTGTTTGATAGGTAGATACTACAGCACTGGACAGTCAAGAAAAACAAGTTAGATTGTTGTCTATAATACTTTCTTGTCCTATCTAAGATGTGTCCCAAAATGTGCTTATGGCATGTTTGGGAGGGAGAATGGGATAGCATTGATTAGTATTAAGGAAGAAGAAACGAGGTTAAAAATCTTGTTAAATGTGAACTATTGGTCACGCCCAATACTAAGGGCCAAATATGAATTTATATGTTACTTTAATAGTGGTAGAACTATCTAATCATTGGAATTTTCAAATTGCAGGTTTGGGGAGGTAATCCGGCCAAGTTCCTCAGGAAACTTACGGACGAAGAGATAGCTTTCATCTCCCAGTCAGCCACCAATTATATAAACCTTGCAAAGGTCCATGCTGCTGAAAATGCAAAACCCTTTGATGAGATCGAGTTTGAAAAGATGCTGCGAAAAAAGTTTGCCCGTCGTGACGAGGAGTATGATTCAATGATTGGTGTCGTCCGCGAAACTCCGCCTGAACTTATTCTTCCGGATAATATCCTACCAGCTAAAGCTCCGAAGGCTTCTCAGTGAGACGTTTCAGAGGTAGTTTTCGGAGTATCCCGTCTGTGCGAATTTGCAGAGATGGGTTCATCAATTTCCAGAATAACACCAGTCATTTTAGAATGTAGGTTGATGAATGACGATGTGTCTCTTTGTTTGTATACCTCTTTTCACCTTGAATTAGTTGAGTTATACCCTCACAATAACAGATGATTTCATGCCTTAACCTGAGTTTTGTGTCCTTATGTTGGAGCTTAAGAACTTGTTTTAATGCAATATATCAGCAGCTATTCATATCCTTGCAGATATTTAAATGCATTTTTTCTATTGAAATGACAGCGTAAAGAATGCAGACTTTAGTTTGTAATTTATTTAGATTAGTCAAGCAGTTGAGATAATCACTATGCTTACCATATTGTCAAGTATAATTTTCGGTCTCAACTTGGATGGATGAATTAATCCTCTATAAATTAATTACCTCTATATTATAATAAAATTTTCTGGTCTCAACCTTTTAATTTATAGAGATTATATTATATTGCTTTTTGAGAAAATTTTATATGCCAAAAAAAAAAAAAATTATTAAGTGCTTGTTTGGTAGGGATTTTTTGGGGAATAATTGATTTTTTTTTTAATAGTGATATGATGGGAAATGTGTGGTTGAAAAAGAAGAAAAAATTATTGATGTGATGGAAAATATTATTTTATTGAAGAATGTGTGGTTGAAAATGAAAATTGATTTACTATAGAATTTGAGAATAAAAAACAAACACACCTAAACAAGATAATGAGGGCGTTAAATAAAAATAAGTATTACAAGATACGCTACTTAACTTGTTAAGTAGCAAAGCCCCTGTTTGACAACACTTTTTATCCAATTTGCAGTAGACTTTTTACCATTATATAGTGTGTGCAAGTTACATACCAGCTACAATTATTAACTGAACCAAGCAGAATGACTTATGTACATTTTTAACATTTAATTCATTCTTCTTGAGAATAGCATTTCTAAAAATTTATTTCTAAGGTAGTCAATAATTGCAGCAACAATGGGACCCATGTGCACGTGCCAAATAGTACATTATTCTTTTAATTGCACTACAAAAATATACTATAGAAACTAAAATAGTATCAAATTATAAATAAAATGTTATTGTTTGAGAAAAGAGAGAAAAATAAAGGAGAGAATAAGATAAGTCAATAAACTTGTGTGTTTATTGAGAACCAAAACCACATATTTATAGGAAAGAATTAGAACTATAAGGGATACAACTGTTATAATGAGTAAGGCTACAAAGGTATAAAATTTATTCATAAAATACTACCATATTTACAACTCTCCCCTTAAATGACTATTTACACATTAACCATCTCATCGAAACATTATTTGGCAAAAATTCGATGGGACAAAAATGCCAACAAATGAAAAATGAGTAAAAATAATTTGGAGTAATAAAATGTTGCATCGTTAAAACCTTGTCAAGAAAATCCAGTAGGACAAAACTTAATCGAAGAAAAAAGAGTACAATTACTTCCCTTTATTTCAATTCATCGTTGTCTTGTATGTCAATATCTTCAATATTACGATTTCTGGTAAAGTATGTCTCATGGTGTCATGTGTAGTATTCAAATAACACTGTCTTCATACGAGCTATTTATCAATCTTTGATGATTCGAAAAATAACCCTGGTTGATCTATTGTCGAATCTCATACATATAGGAGATTTTGAAGGTAAATGTCTTATATGTTATAGACATTCAATACAAAAAATATATGTCTTATTAAAACCTTATTAGGAAAAACCATTTGAAAAAAAAATTCTAATGAAGGGAAAATAGTATATTATTCTTTTAATTGCGCTACAAAAATTGCCTCATTAAAAATCTTGTCAGGAAAACACAGTGGAACAAAATATGGTCAAGGAAAAAAGAGTACAACGTGTATTTATTTCCCTCATGCTTCAGACATATTAGATTTTCAAGATAACAGTAATAGTCAAGCCAGATGAATTAACTATAGTCAGACTTATTATATGCATATCAAATTCCATGCATTTCGACTAATAAAGTAGAGGCTTGTTATTACATACACCATATGATAATTTGTCTATTTATAAAAGTTTTCGCTAAATTCATTATGTTGAGAGTCGTACATTTCATATTACGATTTCACTTTTTCATTTTCATTTCGCATAAGTATACACATTTAGGTGTTCAGACTATAAATTTAGAAATTTCAGATTTTTCTAGTAAATTCAATTTAGGATTACTTCCCTTTTATTTGGTCAATCATTATTTCGATCGATATATTTCGACTTATTTATTTCGATTTCTCGCTATATGAAGCAGTACATCATGTGTAAAAGAGTTGTCGACAACTTTTTCTTTTTCGATTCTATTCTTTTTTATAATAACATAACTTATTGGAATATTTCAATTTTCAACATATCAGGTATTTAAACCTCTTCTGGAGTTTTATAATTTGTTATGTATAAATATTCATCAAGAGTATATACGCGTAAGTGAAGAAGGGCAATGCCACTTGTAAAGCTCTTTCATCGAGTATGCGATCACCTCCTTAACAGGACCATCTTTGTTAATTGCTCCATTTTTGTTTGAAATTTTTTATATTAGAATCAATATCATCACAGTTCAAGCATGCTATAAATTTATCACATATATTATTAATGAATTGTATTTCCAGGAGTCAATTCGAGTTGGAGTAATTAAAGCTGGTATGTGAGATTATTAACATCTTTAGTCAGTAAATAAATTTAAATGAATTATATTTCGAATTTCTGGTTCAATTATTTTTTACGAGAATTTAGATAATAATACACTTGTACATTCTTTTTAGATAATAATACACTTGTACATTCTTAATTCCAATCAAATTGACAATCAGCAAACTGCGTTATAAAATATCATTCATTTGAAATAACGTTTATTCTCAACGTTCTTTACTATTCATATCAGTGCATTATAGTGGATCAATTTTACATATATTGCACTATCAAAATAAGTAGATGGAAAAATAAGATTCCGATCACGAGCTAATTATAATAAGAAGAACTATGATGTTGGCATGATGCGTAATAACATTCTCTAAATAGAAAATGGGAAGCACTTTGTTCTCAATTAAATTAATTGGAAACGTTTAACAAGCAATAATATTAAACCATTTATCGACATTTTAACCAACACTTATTAAAATGTTGAGATTTATAATCACGTGAAGCGCCTTTGAAGAGCCTAACAAAGCAACATCCAAGTCTAATTGAGCAAGAATTGATCGCATCTTAATTTGGCACAAAGAAAATCTACTGTTGCGATCCAAAAGCGAAATCTCAAATTTCGTAGTTACCATCCCTAAAACAATTGACCTTGTTCAAAACTTAATTTAATAACTAATTTGGACTTCTTAAGAAATCGCCAAAAAAACTTTGGCTGTGATAGCAATTGTTAGAAATAAAGTAATACCAATTTGCTCTCACACGAATTTGTTGAGAATCATGCCAAATAATAAAGACGAGAAAATAAGAGCAATCTAAAATATAATGGATCACAAAAGGACACAAAATATATGTGCAAGAAGAGGAGAATTTCAAATATTCCAAGAAGCTAAAATTATTTTACAAGATTTAATGCTTTTAAATTAAATCTAAACAATTTTCTTAAGTTTTTAATGTATACAACAACGATCTAATGGTTATGTCGAGCCTCTGAAGAGCCTACACCACGTGAAGTATATATATGAACTCATTACAAGTATTTTGGATGGACTACAACTCCAAAAAAAGTCAGAATCGAAAAATGATTCCCACTCGGATAACACTGTCGCTCGAGCACCAGCGGGCGCTGCATGTGCGAAACATTAGAGCCCGACGGGCGCCACCTCTATGTTCTTTTTTCACCCCCCGATGCTTGAGCGACAAAACTAGCGGCCAACTAACAAAATTGTGAAGATCTTTTCTCCACCAAAACTCCAAAACCAAATCTTCAATTATCCAAAATCCTTTTATCAATCAAACTTCTAATCCTTAATGAATTTTGATCCATTTTTTCAACCGAACTTCAAAACCAAGAAGACTCTTGTTCTTTTTATCAATTTACCAACCCAATCCTAATCCCAACATGAATTTGGATAATATTGTAACAAAAAAATTAGTACAATTGAAATAAATAATATATTGAACAAGAAGTTCATCATTCTGAAGATCTTATTATTTAGCATGATCGATTAGACCATCCCGGATCAATAACGAAGTGAATAATTATTGAGAATATTCATTGAAAAACCAAAAGATTTTTCAATATAATGAACCCTCGCGTATTGTTCGTTTTCAAGGTAATAGGCCAGCAGACTTCACTATCTAAAATTTGGACTGAATTTTTTGTATTTTTTAAAATTAATTAGGGTGATATATGGGGCTCATCACCCTCTATGTTGACCATCTAAATATTATTTGTATCTATTGGATACATCTAATATATGATTACATGTCGTTATTATATTCACAATTTGAAATTTGTGATATTACCTGCTCATATTTTATATTATGAGCATATTTTCATATTCTACTATCAATGCGGTATGTCTTGTCTATGCTAGTAAGCCTACATCCTAACTTTATAAATGTTAGTCGAGAAAAAAAAAAAAAATTAACACAATTGATTATTAAATGTCTTCAATTAATTTCTAAATCAATACTATTGAGAACAATGTGATTTCTATTTGTCTAGAGAACGCTATTTTTCAAATAGCAAAACTTATTTTATCATGTCAACATCAAATTTATCTCGTTATATTTGTTTTATTGTTTAGAAGCTTAATATTTGTCATCTAATGATTTTGATATATATGTACAATTGTTTCACCACAATACATTGGGATGAACATTAAAAAAAAATTGAAAATACAAGTTTAGCCCTTATGAAAATATCTTAAATTCTATTGGGTGGTATTTTATAACACGATTTGTTGACTGTCTATTTGATTGGATTGTTTTCTCAATATTAAGGGAAGAAAT